CTGTTTATGTGGCAATTCCCATGGATCATGTTTACGTAAAGTACTTTCAGTGGAATCTTGCTTCTTCATGGAGTCTGTCTGTAGATGTGTTGTCTGTCAGAATTGCTTCATAGATTCAGTAAAATATGTACTGAATACCTACTGTACAAGATGTTGTATGAGAAATGTTATGGAATAATAAATATGAAACTTTTAATATACATTAACACTGGTTTTACTAATTTTGAAAAAAGGACCACCATCAACTCATCCCACACTCCACTTCAACCATTGTTAACCAGAGATAGAACTTTATTTTCATCATTGCCAATTTTACAGTCAAACATAATATTTGGAAAGCAATGTCTTATAAACCACCTGCCATATTGGATGTTTTTGTTAAATGCCCTGACAATAAAAAAGTTGAATGTAAACTGTGCAAATGACTGTTGTCATATCATGCGGACTAACTAATCTTTGGGACCACTTAACAAGAGTAAATTAATGTTATTATAAGGAGTAGTATGCTAAATGCTCTTCATTATTGGACTTTCTCACACTGTTGTTATAGTTAATTTATTTTATAACCTAATTGTTATGGTTTTTGTTATTTTTTGCCATTTATTTATCAATTAACTATTGTAAGTTCTGGTAACTATTAAATTAAGGTTTGTTTTGTCTGAGTCGTGCATTTCTTGTACTTGGCTATTAACCCTTTCCACATGGGCCACGGGTCAAAGGCCATGTCGTCGCATTTGTTGACTCGCATTCAAAATTTTATTGAACTACTATTTTATGAACTTATGTCATTAATTTTGGTATCAAACTGTAGATTATAATTCATATTTTAGTATTATACCTTACTCAATTTGTTAATTTAAAAGTAATTACTAATAAAACACAGATAAACATCAATTTTTATGTGTCACGTGGTATGTTAAATGCAGCACTGGTTTAAATTAGATGTTTGTGATGTCAAAGTACAAAGTTCTATAGTTTTGCATGAATAAGAAACTCAAATTACTAATATTAATAAGCTAGAATATAAAATATGAACCTCTTATCTTTTGTATTTTCTGAGATATTGCTCATGTACTGAATCAAACACAATAGCCCCACTCACCTCTTTCCATTTTTGGAAATGCTTCCTTATATACACTTAATTCCGTCTATGATGTGATTAACCAATTGAAAGTTCAGAATGTTCTCCTAGTGGCTTTCTCAGCCATTTTCAAGTATTATGATGACATCACGTTTTTTCTATACAAATCTTCAATCTGGTAAGGTGAGTCTTTAGTCTGCTCAAGATTTCATATTTTTTAGAACCAAATACAGCTTAATTACTAAGCTTGATATATTATAGTGGTATTCTATGGTATCAATATAGTAATTTATGATTTTTCGGTTATGTGAAATATATATATATAAAAAATTTCGTTTCACATCCTCCACGTGCAAAATTTCATAAGGCTTAGCAATCTATGACAAGTAGCAAATTAGTAGGTAGTAACTAGAAGAGATAATTGTTTGCTTTACTTCTTTATTTACCATTGTGTGTTTTAAGAAAAATAAGTTTAAGAACTTGTTTGTAAAGAGTAATAATGTATATACATATATATATATATAATAATTGAAATGTGACTGTATTTTACAAAACACTAGTTCACCAAAATACAGCCAAGACTGGTCAATTTGTAAAGACTAAAGGTCAGTTTTATATTATTAGATACGGTAACATAAGTGCACTTGTGCCACATCATTGTAACTTATGTATTGTTAGCTAGGCACGGCTGAAAGGTCAATATAATAAAAACAATAAATATATATAAATGTATAATGTTATGAGATTTAAGGTATTTAGTCTAAACATTTGTGTATTCGTGTTATAATTTGTAGTCATTCTAGAACGAAAAAGGCATAATTTATATTTATTACCTAATTTTTTTCACGTGGTTACAAGATCGGTCAAATCTACCAAACCCGTACAGAGATTCGTTACTGATAACAGGTAAAATATAAAGTTTTTTTTCTTAAGATACATTTGATAAATATCTCAGTATCTGAATGTTATAAAGATTTTGGACATCAAATTTGAAAATTTTCTGAATGTATAAAAGTATTTTTAATCTTAAAATGAAAATGACTTTGCATGTTGGATAGGTAACATGCGAAATGTAAAAAGGCATGAGAAAACCTTAAGACTTAAAAAAAAAATGTTATTTTGCATATGGAAGCCTTATAATGTTTGCTGATAATCTGCTAAATTTCATGAACAGAAGTAAAATATAAGTCTTTTGCCAAGTGTCAAAATAATGGTGCTTTTACTTATATTTATTAATAGTATAAATATATATTGTGTTGTTGTTGGGCTTAGGATTCTTCTACAGTAGGTGTCTGTGACTTGTTGAGAATAAATTCAACAATAAACGAACAGCACA